AGGATAATTTTAAACAAAAAGGATAATTTTAAACAAAAAGGATAATTAAAGCAGACAAGTAAATTAAGTCAAAACAAATAAAACCGAACAGTGGATGCTGGAGATTCAAAAACAAAACAAAACTGCTGGCGAAAATCAGCAGGTCTGCTACCTGTGGAGAGGATGCAGAGTTGATGTTTCAAGTCCATTGACACTTCTTCAGAACTCACAGCAGCTAGGGAAAAAAAAACGTACTTATGCCTCGTACCTTAACCAGTAACTCTAGCTGTTATCAGATGTAACGAAGCGTCACCGGTTTTCTCCCCATAGATGCTGCCAGACTTACTGAATTTCGCTAATTTCTATTTTTGTTGAAGTAAATTAAACTTACATTTCAGTGTTTCTTCACAAGTTTTGATCCAAGTGCTAAAACTGGGATTGTCACCTACAAAACAGAAGATAGATTACTATGATTTCAAAAGAAGAAATGAAAACTTCACACACATCACATCGAAACAGACTTCACACAATGATTTATTTATGAAATCCAAATTAAAACCCAAAGAATGAACAAAAGCATTTTATTCCAATATCTCTCAGAGCTTATGAAATGAATTTTGGCACTCTTTAGTTATTCCAATTTGTAAAGTTCACAGTTCTAAAATTAGCAGTATGTACACTAAAAGCAGGACTACACAAATAAAATGTTTTTTTAAGTGGACTAAGCATGGTAAATGGAGCAAACATTAGTACTGCATAAAGCACAAATAACATCTAATATTGCCCAAAAATAGAATTAACCCATCAAGCACTGCAATAATAATCCTGATAGCAATTATTGACCAAGGCCAACACAAGGAGTCAACCAAGTCTAACATAAGGAGAATTACAGAAAGAGATGGGGGATGGTTCTGGTGTAGTTGTTGAAGAGAGACTGTTCCACGAACACACATGGCAGGCATAGCTCAGGCCCATGCAGGTGCCCACAGACATCCCTTTGGCTTGTAGGATGTGGGAGGAATCAAAAGAAAAATTGTTGATGGTGAGGACCAGTTCTGCCAAACGAATGACAGCGTCAGTGGAGGGGGACTGGATGGGCCTATGGGAGAGGAGGAAGCAGGGGGCTTTTAGGCCTTCCTTGTGGGAGATGCAGGTGTACAGGGACTGACCGTCCAGGGTGAGGGTGTGGTGTTGGAGGCTGGGGAATTGAAAGTTTCGGAAAAGGTGAAGGATGTGGTTTGTGTCTCAAATGTAGGTGGGGAATTCTTGGACCAAAGGGAAAAGAAGAATACTGCCCCACAGCTCTCTGTGGCAAGGAGCTCCAAAGACTGCCAACCCTCAGAACAAATTCCTCCTCATCTCAGTCTTAAATTGGCTTCCTTTAATTCTAAGGCTATGCCCTCTGGTCCTAAATTCTCCCATGAGGGGAAGCATCCTCTCAGCACTGACAGGGTAAAGTCCCTTAATACACACAGGATTCTTAATGGGATCATCTCTCATTCTTCCAAACTCCAGTGACTAGAGTCCCAACCAGTTAAACCTTTGCCCATAAGACTAGCCCTCCATACCAAGATTATCCTGGTAAACATTCTCTGAATTGCCACGAATGAACAGCATCTTTCCTTAAATAAGGAGACCAGAACTGCTGACAGTATGCCAGATGTTGTCTCATTAGTACCTTGTACTGTAAAAGCAAGACTTCCCTACTGTTCTCTCAAACCCCCCTTGAAATAAGGGCAATATTCCATTAGCCTTCCTGATTCTTTGATACACCTGTGTTAGAATTCTCTTTTGAGCACAAGTACCCCCAAATGCTTTTGTGCTGCAACTTTCTGCAGTTCTTCTCTATTTAAATAGTGCTGCTCTTTTGTTCTCCCTTCCAAAATGAACTTTTGTATTTTCCCACATTATAATGCAAGTTGCCCACTTTGTGCCTCCTACTTAACTAGCAATATCTCTTTAAACTGCATCTCCCTCAAAACTTGCCTTTCCACTTATTTTTGCACCTTCTGCAAAGCTGGTTACATTACATTCACTCAGAGATAGCAAGAACGGCAGATGCTGGAGTCAGAAAAAAGTGTGGAGCTGGAGGAACACAGCAGGCCAGGCAGTATCAGAGGAGCAGAAAAGCTGACATGAAAGAGAACCTATGATCCCCACTCACTGTTTTCTGTTCCTCAGCTAATGCGCTATCCACGCCAAGATTTTAGCATGGGCTCTTAAGTTAAGAGTCTTTTGAGAGGTACCTTGAACACCTTCTGAAAGTCCAAATACAACACATCTACTGGTCCCCTCTATCTACTCTGGTTGAGACTTGCTCTAAAAACTCTAAACTAGTCAGACACTATTTTTCTTTCACGAAGCCGTATTGATTTTGCTTGATTAGATTACAATTTTCCAAATAATTTTATTCCTCTCAAGTCTCCTGTTCTTTTAAATTGAATTATCGCAGCAACTTTATATGTGAGCCAGAACGTGGTATTCATGCAAAATACATTTAACATCTTTCGACAGTGGGAATTTTTATATCAACCTACAGCCTTCTACCACATAAGAAAATTGATTTATCTATGGGGAGTTCACATGTGGCCAACAGAAGTGAGGAACAATGAGGCAAAAGTACATTGTGCAGTGCGTAACAAATTTACACAGAAAATACTCCTAGGCAAATCGGAGTGAAGCACCTACAAGAGAATCATTACATCTTAGACTCTTCAGAGGTACCAACGCATTCAACTTCAATTAATATTCACACAAACACTGGACATTCCACTTAATCAAAACACATTTACACTTACTCCAAACTATCAGGAAGCTAACTCACACAAAGGGGCAAACAAAAAAACCACAACAGATAACAGATGAGAGAGGTTATAGCAGAGCTCTGTGTGTATAACCACTAGCCCTGATCTGGGAGGGAGTGACAGTAAGAAACAGCCATCCCCTCAGCTACCAACAGAAGAGGGATCCCAGACAGCTACTCTGAGAACTATCCGCACAGCTATATTCCTGAAACAGGGCTGTTCCGTACCAGGGGAACCTACGGCAACCGACCACAACCAGCAGATCTGATGACCAATGATCTCCAAACACCACCAATATGACTGTCAAGGCCTCAGACACATCCTGAGGTGAAAACTGCCTCATAAAACCACTGCAGAGTAAGAAAATCCAAGTTCTCAAACCAGACTGAAGGCCTACACTGTCCAAAGTCTTCAGTGAAGCACTGGCTACAGCAAGTGGGAACAGCCAGCTGTATTTCAAAATCATGTTTATCTCCAGTGGTGAACCTATTTCCTAGAGACCCGAAGTGTCCAACCTAGCTAGCAGGGAGGGGAAGGTGGGCTGGTGACAGTGCAGGGCACCCCAAGGTCAGGAAGTCTGACTAAAGTGTCTGTTTGAAACTACTGTTTAGTTTCTAATAGTAATTAGTCTGTGTTAAGTTAATAATTGATAGTGTCAGGTTCACTCTTTTGAATGTGCCTTTTTATCTCTCTCATTTTATTCACCTTTGTGTTATTTCCCAGTTTATTACTATTGCCCTTTCATTTCTTGTGATATACTCACCTTTGCATTTAATAAATGTAGAGATTCTTTGCCCTGAAACACCTGTCTACTGCCTTCTTCACTTCACATTCCTAAATCAAGTCCAGTGTCAGAACCAGGGACCTGGTGGGTGATCCAGGCTGCCCGAGAATTCCAGCAGGGTTACCGATCTCTCAGACCAGAACTCCCTACAGGTGCAGAGGAATGCATTGCTGAAAAAAGAGTTGGCAGTGCATTAGGGAGAACCAAGAAAGGGATCTAAAGTCAGGAGAGAAGACTGGCTACTTCCTCACCAGCTACTTGTGAATATAAATACTGGACAGACCAATTTTTCACATCGTCATTCCATGATAAGTACTTTTTTGCACTTACTACAATTTTCTACAGCTTTCTTTGGCTCCTGCCCGCAGCCTTTACAAAACTAGCTTGTGCAAAACTAGAAAAATGTAAATGTTATTTTAATCATGGAAGCGGCACGGCGGCTCAGTAGTTAGCACTGTTGCCTCAGCGCCAGGGACCCAGGTTTGATTCCACCCTTGGGCAACTGTGTGGAATTTGCACATTCTGTGTCTGCATGGGTTTCTGCCGGGTGCTCCCATTTCCTCCCACAGTCCAAAGATGTACAGGCTAGGTGGATTGGCCATGCTAAATTGCCCATAGTGTTCAGGGATATGTAGATTAGGTGTGTTAGACACGGGAAATGCAGGGTTACAGGGAAGGGATAAGGGAGGATGGGTCTGGGTGGGATGCTCTCCAGAGAGACAGTGTGGACTTGTTGGGCCAAAGGGCTAGTTTCCACACTGCAGGGATTCTACGATTCTATTTACTAAGTTGCATTAATAGAGTAAGTGGTGATAAGGAAAGGTTCTAAATAAAATTTAAAAGAACAAATAAAATAATTAATCCATTAAAACTCTTTAAGGGTGGCATGGCAGATGATTCCAAAAGGTGGAATTGTCGACACCAGTGTAGTACAGGACAAATGAATCTGCAACAAGTATCCAGAGTGTCATTGAGCTGGAGGCGGAGCTACAGACATTCCAAAATAAAAAACACAGGATGTGGTCGTGCCGGTGTTGGACTAGGGAGGACAAAGTCAGAAGTGACATGACACCAGATTATAGTCCAACAGGTTTATTTGAAATTACAAGCTTTTGGAACGCTGCTCCTTTGTCATTTGCAGAGGTGCTAGAATCTGTGAGGAAGGAAGGTGTAGCAGGTTACTTTAAAAAAACAATCATGATTTAATCAGGAAGGGCCAACATCGTTTTATAAAAGGAAACTCACATTTATCGATTTGTTTTGATGAAGCACTATCCGCAATGGATACAGAACAGTTACATTTGCGTTGATTTCAAAAGCATCTTTAAAAGTGCCATATTTAAAAAAATGCTGCAGAAGAGCACGTGGTGTACGGGGGTTAACATTACCCTGAAGTACTTGTTAGCTAAGAGGCGGACAGCTAGGATAAATGGGTCTGTTTCAGGTCATCAAGCTGTCAATAATAGAATGCCACAGAGATTAGTACTAGACGCTCAACTATTTACAATCAACGTCAATGATTGCGATCAGGAACCAACTGTACGGAAGCTAAGCTAGCTGGTAAACAAGTTATCGATACGAGGTAGGAAGTCTGCAAAGGGATTCAGACAGGTTTAGAGAGTGGGCTAGGATTTTGCAGTGGAGCATAAAGTGGGAAAATGTGAACTCGCCCATTTTGGCAGAAAGAATAGAAAACCAGCATAATATTTGATTGGAGCGAAATTGCAGAATTCAAAAATACAGGCAGACCTAGGTGTCCTGATAATATTCATCACATGAAGTTAGCTTGCAGGTAGAGCAAGCGACTAGGCAGCCAAATAGAATTGCTTATTACAATGGGAACGGAATATAAAAATAGGGATGCTTTACATGGCTGTACTGGACACTGGTGAGACAGTATCTGAAACGGTGTAGAGTTTTGGTGTCTATTTGGAAAAAAGTTAAATTACTTGAGAAGGTTCAGTTGACTTCTTTATGGGATAAAAGGCTTATGTTAAGAAGAAAGATTTAAGTGGTTAGGTCCATACCTACGGGGTTTAGAAAAAAGGAAGGCAATCTTATAGAAGCATAGAACATCCCGAGGGGACTGGATACAGTGGATAGCCGCAGGGCTTATACACTCGTAGCGAAATGAAAACTATGGGATAATATAAAAGTAAATGATCCTTTAAAGTCCAAGTTGAGATTTTTTTTTGTTCCCTCTGAGCATCATGAGTATGTAGTTCTCTTTCCCAGCTTATGGTGTATTTAAAATTATTCAAAGCTGAGTTAGATAACTTCTTGATAGACAAGATATTCTGGGGTTGTGAGATGCAGTCAAAAAAAGTGGGGATGACACTACAACCAGGTCAGCCATGATCTCATTGAATGATGTAGCAGGCCAAGGGCAAATAGCCTACTCCTGCTGCTACATGCTGTGCTCCTACGATTACATGTAATCTGTCCCACAGTACCCATTCCACATCTTCACCAAGGTACCTTACTCGAGTTAGATTGGAGACAAATCAAATGCAGAACTAGGAGGAAAAGAATTAATTAATGGCAGGTTCATTGGTAAGGACAAGTCATATTTGACTGACTTTTTTTTGAGGGTGTAAAGTATGGTGGGGTTGGGGCAAGTGCTGTAGTTCTCGAACTCATGGGAAGGATATGACTAATTATTTAAGTTTGTTAATGAAACAAGGATTGAAACAAAATTGCTGGGCAGATTAATGTCGGAAAGTAAAAGTTCTAACAGATTTTTCTCAAAGTAGCAGAGTGCCACAGTGATTGGTGTCAATTTTGTCCAAATATAAACGTGGGTAGCTAAAGCCACGAGCGACAAGAATAATCTGATTTGATAGGTTCTGAAATTGGACAGGCATACAGAAAATGTTGAATAAAATCAGGTTGTTTTCTATGAAGACAACAGAAAGTCAAAATATATTGGAGTGTAATAGTAGAACACTGGGATACTTTCCCGGGGCATTCTTTCTAATGATCTTGATTATTTCAAGTTGTCCCTGCCTTGGTTCTTCCATCCCTTTCAGGTCTTTTTATACTACTTTTCAGATGCATTTGATGTCTTGTATCTGTCTTCACAGAAGCAAATACTTGCTCAAAGTTTCTGCTATTTCTTTATTTTTCATTGTTAATTCCCCAGTCTCACCCTTATGGGCTCACTATTGCAATTCTTTCTTTTTCTGTAATGGAGGAAGTATTTATTGTAGGTTTAATATCTCTTGCTAATTTTCCGATATTGCATTCCAGAAACCAAGCTTTTGCAGATCTCCATCCAAGTGACCTCTCTTTCTCATTTATCAAGTTGTTCAATCACCATCCTACCAAAGCCAAGGTGAATTCAATCCTCACAATTCATCCCTAAACATAAACACAATATTAGTAGAAATCTCAATGTTATGACGAGAAGTAAGGACCATAACTAAGTTGTGGTACTCGTGGTGGCAGTATAGAGATGGATGAAACTAATATTCAAAATTTTCTGGCATTACTAATGATCAAATATAACTCTCATTACAAACTTTACAATGGGCTCATGACAAAAGACTGTAAAAAGGTAAGTATTATGATGCAAAGATCCAATTATTTGCAAACAAATACAGCAAGTCCTCACTTAAAGTTTTGATTGTGTTCCTGGATATCATGACTTTTTTGCTGACTTATAGCTTAGCATTGGAGGCTTTTTTGCTGAGCAAAGAAAAAGTATTTAAATTTAAATACTGTATCACATGCAAAACTGTATATTCCTAGCTAAAATAGCTTCAAAATAAAATGCATCACTATACAAAAGAAATACAATTGGCAAGGCTGACAAGCAAGTTCAGTCGCCAGACAAACAAACAGCAACCAGAAGTGCCACTGGAAGGTTCGAGCACAGGGCAGGCCATAGAACAGGAGGTATGTGGCCAACAATCTTAAGTAAAGCAGTCAATCCTAAATGGATACATTGATATAACTTCAGTCACATTAACTCATTAAATGACGTTTCACTTTATGCAGGAACTTACTGTACAAAAATAACATATTTCCCTAATCCAAGTTAAAATTCAGTTTCCAACTTAGAAAAGGAATTAAGAACACTCACCATCTAATTCCTGCCCTCTTCTAAAGGACTCCATTGATGACTGATACATTTTTAAGTGATACTCCGCAATTCTAAAAGAGAAGCAATATATTAAAACAGCTTTTAATGAAAAGTATTAGGTCTACATAACCAATGCTGAAACTTTACTGTTTTGCTAATTATTACAAAATAAATGCAATGTTCAGAAACACTAAAATCTCCTGTCACAATTTCATTTCCTGTCCAATTACAAACTTCTGTTACAATAGAAAAAGTAAGATGTAATTACATGTCCCATCGCCTGTCAAAAACTTGACAGAATTGCAAAATATAGAGGTTAGATATTATTAATAATACTGTGCTGGGAAATTCCTTTCAAATAGTCAAAACATTTTCAAAGGATATCTTCCTGTTCAGTTGTCCATTAGTCATCTACTCACAGCCTGTTAACCATCTACAAGACACAAGCCAGACGTGCAAGGGAATGCCCCCCACTTGCCCGGATGAGAGCAGCTCCAACAGTATTCAAGTTGACACAGAGGACAAGGACATTGCTTGATTGGTACCGCATTCGCAAACATTCAATCCCATCACCACTGACACACATCAGCAGTGTGTATCATCTACACAGTACACTGCAGAAATTCAAAGTTTTCAAACAGCACCACCACCAAGGAGGACCAGTTCAGCAAGTATATGGGCATACCAGGCTCCCCTCAAAGACAGTCGCCGTCATTCCTTTGAAATATATAGCCATTCCTTTAGTGCTCCTGGGTCAAAATCTTGGAACCTCCTCCCTAACAGCATCTACAGCAGTTCAGGGTGGCAGCTCACAATCACCTTCTTCATGGCAACTAGGATGGGCAATAATTACTAGTTCAGCCAGCAATCATAGAATCCCTACAGTGTGGAAGCAAGCCATTCGGCCCTTCAAGTCCACACCAACCCTTCCAAACAACATCCTGTCCAGACCCATCCCAACCTTGTAACCCTACATTTCCCTTAGATAATCCACCTAGCCTGCACATCCCTGGCCACTATGGGTAATTTAGCATGGCCAATCCACTTAACTTGCACACCTTTGGACTGTGGGAGGAAACCCACGCAGACACGAGGAGAATGTGCAAACTCCACACAGTCGCCAGAGGGTGGCATTGAATCTGGATCAGTGGCACTGGGAGACAGCAGTGCTAACCACTAAGCCACTTCATGTCCTCATCCCACAGATGAATAAAAACTGACAACTGCTGGCTCTACTTTGAGTTCAATAATAGGTCATTCATTGTTCACTTTTTTGCATCTCTCCCTTTGGTTACCTTTTCACTGTAAATAACTCAAAAGTTTCAGAAAACCTTTCTTTCAATTCTCAGTTAGATGTGCCCAATCATCTCATTATCAATAATTTAATTCCTGCAAGTGGAAGTTATGATTTAAAGCATATGAATTATGAAACTAGACTTTGGAACTACTATAGATAACCATTGTACAAGGCACTGGTGAGAACACAATTTAAATACCCTATGTAGTTTTGATCTCTATTTTAAGGAGGACTGTAAATGCATTGGAAGTGGTTCAGAGGAGGCTTATCATAATGACAGCTGGAGTGATCAGGATGACTTAGGAGAATGGGTGGTCAAGATGGGCTCGTTTCTACTGGAGTTTAGAAAAAGGGGTGACTTGATTGAAGTGTTTAAGATCCTGAATGGTCTTGATGAGGTAAATGTGGAAGTTTTCTTGTGGGTCAGTTCAAAACTAAGAATTGCCTTTTTAACACAAGATAAAAAGAAGTTTCTTTAGGACATTTGTGCAAATTTGGAACAGTTTCAGAAGTGTAGGAGGAGTCATTCACCTCCCTTGCACTATGAATAAGTTGAATGTTTTCCAACGGTCTCTACCCTAGCTATTTGTTCAATGTTTCCAAATCTGCAAACTCATGTTAGGAACATGTAGAATGAAAGACATTAGTTTGACAATGTGGAAGTCACTTTATCAAACCTGGTCTTAAGAGTTTAAATGTTTGATAACAGTAATTGAAAAAAGGTCACATTAATTTAATCAAGCATTAACGAACGCTATCGCCTACTCTTCAAATTGTTTCTCTAAAATCTCCTTTAACAGATCTAAATACTTAAAAATGCAAAGAAAAATGAATTTAAAGTTCATGAAGATTTTAACAAAGCAAAAAAATTGTTACATAGGATACATATTAATTATAAAAAATGTGCTTGCACTGTTGTTTCCCAAGGCTTGGCTTTTTCTAACGAGCTTTAGTTTTTTTCCCCGCTCCACTCACTACAGGTTGGACACACCATAAAATCTGGTTGTCAGGAAACTGGAACTGACCAAAAGAAGACACATTCTTGATAATGGTATACCCTGTTTCTGCACTATATAGAATGCAGGTTCAAAATCCAGGAAAATCCAAGCCTAGCATAGCGTCGCACACAAAAGTCTGGATTCTGAACAACTTCAGATTTTTTGTGCAAGTTTAAATAGCAACATCAATTTCTTTCTCAAGGAAACAGTCAAATTCTGGGTCAAAACAGCGTGAGTGGGAGAAACACAGCAGGTCAGGCAGCAGAGGAGCAGGAAAGTCAACATTTCGGGTCAGGACCTGATAAAGGGTCACCACCCAAATCAAGATTTCCTTGCTCCTGTGATACTGCCTAACATTGCTGTGTTCCTCCAGCTCACACTGTATCAACTCTGACTTCTAGCACCTGCAGTTCTTGCTATCTCCTAGTCACAATTCTGGATTGTTCGATCAAATACGCTGATTGACTTTTCTAAGTACACATGAGATATAGCAATCCTGAGCACGAAATCACCATTACTTTTATTTCATTAAGAAAACAAAGGCCCAAAGTTCATGTTTGCAGCTTACTGCACCTGAATACAAGGCAGATAGAACACAGAACTGTACAACACAGGAACGGGCCCACGACGTTGCACCAAACATGACACCAAACTAAACTAATGCCTTCTGCCTGCCCTCGGTCCATATCCCTCCATTCCTTGCATATTCACATACTTACCTAAAAGTCTCAAATGCCCCTACTGTAACAGCAAAAATCACAAATAAGCAATAAATATACTCACCCTTTTCTGAGATATGCTAAAGCACAGTTGGGTTTCAATTTGAGGGCTTTGTTGGCATCTTCCACAACCTCTATACAGCAAGAGAGCAATATCAATCAAATTAAAAACATGTTTTATATTTTGGAATTGACTTCATTGACTAATCCCATCATTTAATCAGTTAGCAACTTCACTAATATCCTTGGGCATAAAGTTGAATAAGAGATGGCATTTATTCAGAAGTCAACTTGTTTCATATTCATTTTCTTCTAGCAACAGCCCTTTCAAAATTCCTACACTTTAAGACTGTTCATAAAGGCAATAGTCTAATGGGTTAAAATGAGTTTGGTACATTATGATAACATAAAAAGCAAGACAACACTGCTTGACATGCAACTATCAGACCAGGAACTTCAAATGAATTAGCAGGACATTTTTAAATGAGTATTCCAGATAACTAAACAAACCAAGTACAGAATCCCTCACAAAGAATGAACTTTTCTTTCATGGGATGTCGGTGTCACTCAAAAGGCCTGGATTTGTTGCCCATCCTTAATGCTGTTGAAATAGCTTGCTAGGCCATTTCAGAGGGCAACTATGTTGCCGTAGATTTGGAGTAACTCATAGGGCAAACTGACTTTCCCAAAGGACAGGAGTGAACCAGACAAGGCTTTTTTTGATGATCAATGCTAAGTTATCATGGTCACTATTACCAAGTATAGGTTTATTAAATTACCTTAAACTCCTCCAGCTGCCTTCATGAGGCATGGTCATCTCCCTGACAGATACTCCCAACGCACTTCATCCCAGTTTTGTCACAAATCAGATGTTACTGGATAGGATTTGAGGACCGCCTGACATTTCCCAAAGTAAATTAGGACAAGACAAATAGACAAAAAACCTTCATACCAAAAATTATCAGAAACTAAAGGTTAAATCAAATGGCAATTTTAAACCAGGAAGACTGGTAAAGATGAAGATGTAGGGACTCTAACTGACAGCCCAGCAGCACCAATCATTGGGCAAGAGTAAAGCCAGATAAACGCTCAACCACTGAGGTTTCAGATGTCCTAAAGAAAACTTTGGGTAGGGTACAAGATACAGGAACAGCCTGAAGAATATGTCTCCAAGACAAAATTGTCAGGCTTGAAAGGAACTGAAATAGTAAGAAGTTTGAAAAGGTAAACCACATTTCTGGAGAATTGAAAGGTCAGAAGCAAGGGAACATGTGACTGGAGATGCTAGAGCAAACAGCACAGGAGAGATAGAAACCAGGTACAAGATGCGGGGTGCCCCTGGTTAGGCCAACATTCAGTGACCATTCTAATTGGCCTACATTAGGTGGTGGTTAGGTGCCTTCCTGAACCATTTCAGCAATTCCCACAGTTCTGTCATGAAGGTAGCTCCAGGATTTTAACTCAGCAACAATTAAGAAACAATAATATTGTTCCAACCTATGCATCACCCAGCCTTGTTCCTCTAGAAATTAGATGTTGCAGGTCTGGAAGATGTTGTCGAAGGTGCCTTGCTGAATTCTCACAGTGCATCTTTTAGACGGTACACAATGCTACCACTCTGCATTGTGGAGAAAAGAGTGAACGCTGAAGGTGATGGTTGGGGAAGCAAATCAAGCTGCTTGCTGTGTACAGGATGGCATCAAGCTTTGAGTGTTGTTGGAGCTACAATCATCCAGGAAAGGGGAAAATATTCCATCACGCTCTTGGCTCATGCCCCATTTTGTGGGCAGGAAATGGAGAAACAAGGAGCCAATAACCCACTGCAGTATTCCTCGTCTTTGAACTGCTCTTGTGATAAGATTTTATATGACTGCTCTTTCTGGTCAATGATAACCCGGAGAATGTTGATATGAAGGATGCCAATGAATGTCAAGGGTCAATGGTTAGATTCTCTGGTCTGAAATGGTCATTGCCTGGCATTTCTGCATCGGAAATGTTACTTGCTGTTTATCAGCCAAAGCTTAGATGTTTCTCAGGTCTTCCTATGCATTTCTGGTATCGCTGATGTCACAAAATGCAAACATTGTGCAATCATCAATGACTATCCCCATTACTGCCATGATAGAGGGAAGATCACTGATGAACCACCTAAAGAAAATTGGGCCTGGGACACTACTTTAAGGAATCCCTGCGGAGATGTCCTGGTATTGAGAATAATTGGCCTGTGGCAAAACCACAACCATCTTCTGGTGTGTTAGATAGATCTCCAACCAGTGAGGACTGGTCCCAACCAGACCAACGCCCCACCCTATCCCCAGTATCCCGAATGGGGTTTTACCCCATGGATAAACCACCCAACCTGCCTATTTGTGGATTCTGGGAGGAAACCACAGCACCTAGTGGAAGACCATGCAAATGCTACACAGTCATCCAAGGCTGGAATCAAACACAGACCCCGATGCTGAGGCAGCAGTGCTAACCACTGTGCCAGCGTAAATGCTGTTCCAGTTGACGTGATCCACCACTCCCTATTATAAATCCCAGCTTTAAAGTCTATTACCTTTTGCCGAAGAAAATTCCAAACTTCTAACTATTGTTTGCGTGAAGTAGTATTGTCTCATTTCACTCCTAAAATGTCTGGAATGGATTTTCAGACCATGGCCTCAAGGCTAGAATCTACTTCTCATGGGAACGGTTGCTTTCTATCTACCTTGCCCATTCCCCTCAATATTTTGAGAGCTTTGATCAAATCACCCTATAGCTTTCTAAACTCCAGGGCGTACGATACTAGTTTGTCCGACCTCCATTCAATTTAACTCGAATCTAGATATCATTCTAATAAAGCTACGTTACACACCCTCCAAGACCAAAATATCCATCCTAAGGTGTGGTGCAGGGAACTGCTCGCATCACTCTTTTCTATCTCTTAGCCTAATGTGTCAAACTGTCACTGCCCTTTAAACATTTGACTCAAAAATATTTCTGCCATAGAAGTATCAGTTGCATTAACTTCTTCAAACCTCACTATGATAACATTAAAGAACTCAATTAAGCTTGCATAAAACAATTTACTTTTAATAACTTCATGACTGCAATTTAAACCCTCAAAGTGACAAGTTTTTTCCAGGTTTGTGGCCCTCAGAAGCTTCCTCATCACTGATGTGAGGCTGACTGCCTGTTTTAATTGCACAGACAGCAACCTAAGGAGACAGTTTTCCTGCTTGCATTTCTCTATGCATAACAGGGAAAGAAGTAGAATCCCAAGATGTCAAGTCTCCATTCACTTTACATTGCTCTAAATCTGAGCTTTCACAGAAAAAAAAAAGGGTGGAATGTCTGGTCATAAACTAGGACAAAAATATTCATGGCAATGAAGCAGGATTCAGTAAGACAATGTTTTAATGTGATCACCTGGAACAAATAGTGGTAAAACCTTACATTCACTAAAATTACCAACTGAAAAATCAAAGACGGTCAGGATGCAAACAGACAGAACCTAAGACAAATACAGTCTTTTTTAATTCCTAAAGACATTTTTGCCAAAGATCTGGCGAGAAGAATACAATCAAAACTCTACAACGCTATTAAACTCACCTTTGTAATTCTTAAGCAATATGTGTGCATAGGCTCTTTGACAGTAATATTCTGCTTTGTCCAAATCCTGTTCTACTGCAGCAGTGAGCTCCTGGAAGAATAAAGCAAAGTATGGGTCATAAACAGTGTAACTTAGCAACCTCACTGAAACAATACTGCAAAGGGCTCAATTCTAAAATGATACATTCTAACTTTGGTGAACACAAAAAAAGTATTCACACAAAACTGTACGGTTCAGAAAAATGATTAATAATGGCCAATGATATTTCTATTAACATTCATAGGCAAAATTAATTTTCCGTTTACCAAGTTAACATTTGACACCAACTGATTTGTCATTACAATAGCTGTGGGCACTGCAGATATACAGATTACAGCAGCAACTGCTTAAAACACATCCAAATTTCCAGGAAGACTTTCAAAGTCATGAAACAAAACATAACCCGAGCAATAGATTTCTTAAAATGTACGGCATGCGGCACTTTTAAAAAAAAACTTTAATTTGTATATCCTTCATCGCGTTTTATAATAACATGACAACATTCCATTGAACAACAATTGCAAAGTTTCTTTAGATGTGTTTTTAAAAACACGTTCTCACTATTTCGCAATAGTTACGCGAAAGATGATTAATACACAGGGGTCTTTTGATTCCACAACAGAAACAGAAACTCCCCAATCAGACAATGTGTACAATAATGATTTGCATTGTTCTACCATGATAAACAGACTCAAATAACAAGGGAGACTGCAAACAGTTTGCAGGAATTGCCATGCAGGAATTTAAATATTACCAGGCTTTGGATGAGGGGGAACTCGGTCTGGAACAGGATCTAGTAAACAACTTTAAACGAACTGAAGAACTACTTTAGATGAAGTTTATGGACAAGGCATGAATGTTCACCAAAAGAGTTAAGGTTTCATGAATGTACAAGATATTAAATGATGGAGAAGTAAAACACACTCTGAAAAGCTGATTACACGTGATCAAATATTCTGGTTCTGCGTGAACGTGCACTCAGGATGGACACAGCAAGTCTAGTCAAAGCCAGATTTCCTCAAATGCTGTAATGTCCATTTAATAGTGCCAATGTTCTACAGATTTTCTAAACTGGATGTTCCTTCAACCTTAAATTCCATCCTACTGCAATAGCAATAACAAATGAAAAAGCCTATCCTATCTGTATAATTTACCAGAATCCTAAAAATCTACATTGTACCATCTACCTAGCCATAGATCAACATATCTACTCTGCATTTTAAAAAAAAAGGCATCATCTGCTAAATCCTCCTTTTCCTCACTCTTACCATTTCTTTTCCTTTAATGCGTTATTCTTTCTAGTTGTAGACGATGTGGCCAGCATGCATGGTGCTTTACGGACCCTATCTCGTTGTACGTATTGCAGAGTGGCCATAGTTCAGAAAGAAAATGAAATAAATGAAGAAAATCCTCACTTCAATTCAAACATTAAGTTCTGATGAAAAATTACTGACCTGAAACACTTTTTGTCTATCCAGAGATGCTGCCAGACCTGCAGGGAATTTCCAACATTCTTTGCTTCCATTTCATATTTTCAGCATTTGCATTTGTAATTACTTAATTGTGGTTTTTCACCCTTATGGTACATAGGAACTCCCCTATTACACAAGTTCTACACAATAATGATTGATATTGAGCCTATTATAGAACAAGTAAGATAGATACCATTTCTGAAGAAGGGTGTAGACCCGAAGCGTCAGCTTTCCTGCTCCTCTGATGCTGCTTGGCCTGCTGTGTTCATCCAGCTCTACACCTTGTTATCTTTAGACACCATGTGGTTTGTCTAAAGTTAAATTACTTCAAAAAGAGGTCAATCCCATTCTCTATTCACTTTTCCACCTTAATTACCTTGAGTCATGCAACATGATTCCCCTAGGTGCTAGTGCATGCAGACTTCATGACAAATACTAATAATTAACTATGTCCAATTGATATAGCTACGCTGGTTAATTTTCATTAACAAGTTAGTAAGTTAAATTCACCAGTATATTTGTACAAACAGATATTCCCCACCAGTGAGACTAGCATAGTAATGACTGAAAACATGCAACTAATTCCAACACACTGGAACACAAGTGTTTCTGATTATTAATACTTGCAAGCATAGCAAGTCGGCTCCAAAACGTTAAGGACATTTTTGACTGCTTCAAAGACTACACTGGTGACATAAACACAAACCCAAAAAAATCAGCAGAAACAAGAGAGCAGCAAGGACTTTACAACTTTAGCCCTAACCCTTTTTGCCTTTGAATCAGTTATCTCAGACTTACTTGGCAACATGCAACAGGGTGACTGGGATCTTCTAAAAGTCAAATATTCATCACATAACATTGATTAACAAACATTAGTTTAATCTGTAACTGCAGTAAAACAGATTTGTAGTGTATATTATAAATGTAGATACAGAGCTGAAAATTGAAAAACAGAATGTGTGACTTTGAATTTGACTTGACTTAGTGGGAGCAACATTGCTTCAGAAACAGAAGGTCATAAGTTCATAATTCAGAGACTTAAGCACATAATTTAGACAAACACACATGTGCAGTGCTGAGGGAATGCTGCACTGATGGTGGTATCATCTAAACAAAGCTACCTGACATCAAGTGGGCAAAGATTAAATGGGGCTCACTCATTTAGGCGCGTGGAGGAGCGTACGCCACCTTCTGACATGCACCTTATAGTTGGCGCATTGGATTAAGGAGTAAGGAAGAGAATTATTTGCTACACATTTCCCAGCCTCTAACTCATTCTTCTCAACACAGTATTAATATAGCTAATTTTACTCAGTTTTTAGACAGTGTTCGTCTCAGAATGTTTATGGTGGGAGATTCAGCAACAGTAATGTCATTTTACGTCAGGAAGAGATAGTTAGATTCTCTCTTGTTGGGAATAGTCATTGCCTGGCGCTTGTTTGCTGAAAACTTTACATGCCATTTATCAGTCTAAGCTTGAATGTTGTCCAGGTCTTTCCACAAAGAACAATTCTAAATGAGCGCAAAAAGAAAAAAATTAACAAACTGCTTTACCTCCCCACTAATGCTAAAGGGAAGACTAGTGGTAAAACAACTGAGGATGGTCACAACCAGGACACTATCCTGCAGAACTTTTATATCAATGTATACAATCAAGATCCACTTCCGACAGCAATTTCTTTAGTACTAGGTAGGGCTTCAACTAGTGGGGAATTCTCCTCCCTACCAACCCTATTGGCTCCAGTTCTGTTCAAGCCCTTGATGCCGCACATAGTCAAATGCTGCCTTGCTATCAAGGATAGTCACTCATCTCTGGAGTTCAGCTTGGTTATCCAGATTGGGACCAAAGTAACGGAGACGTCAGGAATGGTTGGTCCTTGTGGAACCTAAACTGAACAGGTTATTGATATCAAGCAGCACTTGATGTTGACAACATCATCACTTTGCTGACGATCGAGGGTAGACAAACAAGACTGTAAATGCCTAAGTGGGATTTGTTCTTTTTTCAGACAAGTTATATCCAAGCAATTTTCCACATCGTTGAATAGATGCCAGTGCTGTACCCATGCTGGAACAGTTTGACAAGGGAC